CGCCAGCCTCTCCCCGAACTCCACCTCCCTTCAGCCCGCCGACAACTTCTCCCCCATCTCACGCCGCCCACGACAGCCTCCGTCGACCCCCTGCAGCTCCTCTGACCGCCCCTCAACCCTGTAGCCGTCGTCGACCATCAGATCCGACAACCACACTCCAGATCTGCTCCTTCGGATCTGCTCCAGTCAACGCCACCCGAGATCCAGCGTCGACTCGTTCGACAAAACCCCCGAGGCAAGATCCCGTTGCTCAGTTTGTCATTCTTTACATTTCAGATTGTTATGAATTATCTGTATATTTTGAATTGTGATATAAATATTATCTGTGTGGGTTGTTTAGTGAAATAATAATAATTAAATCATAACAAAGTGATAAATAGTATTTTCAGAATAATTATTATGAATTAAAAGAATTTATTTCTACCGCGGAATCATTTTTGGATAATTATGTTAATTAAAAAGAATTTATTTGAGAACGGAATCATTTAGAAAAATTATAATAATTTAAAAGGAATTATTTTGGAAACAGATTCATTTTTGATAATTATGATGATTTAAAAGAATTTATTTGCAAAAAGAATTATTTATTTTAGATTTAAATTAAATTATGATTTTGTGTTGGTAGTTGTACACTATGACATTTCATGTGCAAAACATTCACGATTTTCGATTTCAGTTTTAATCGTAGTCATATTGAATATTATTTAGCTGCGTATAATTTTTATGAGTGGTTTTAAGATTCGGATAACTAGATATTATTGAAACCGGAAATGCATGCATGTTTTACTGTTTATGATTGTATTTTATGTTTTGCGTTCTATTTTAATGTATTTGCATAGAAGTAGTCATATTATTATTGCTCCTGATTGTGTTTGAGAACCATTAGTAGTTCATGACTTAGTGGCCTTGTGCATCATGAAGAGACTTAGTGACATGTGTGGGTGTGTTGACTGAGTTTAGGTGGTGAACCAGAGTTTTAATAGGAATTATGATCGTTAATTTGGAAAATACAAGAGAGTTGGGATAGGGAAGTCATGGTTCATGTGATCGGATAAGGCTGTTGATGTATCTTTCAGACTTGCACCAGTGAACCGTTTCGCACCGGGGTTAGTTTGTTGAGCCAAGTGAATCGTTTCGCACTTGGTCAGTGAAATCGTTTCGACACCAGAGTTTTGCTTGAGTTCGGACCAGGCTGAAATCGGATTGCGTGTAGTCCTCTCACAGAACAGTTTCGCGGGTTTGGATGCACGTAGGAAATTTGTGAACAGCTAATTATCCGGTGATATGAGCATTGACTCTGTGTGAGATATGGACCAGTGACCTGTTATAGAATGGCTAGTTACATGACCTTGTTACTTAAGGTGATTAAGATTCTTGTGAGATGTAGGTTAGTTGTATTCTTTTCATACATAGATTAGGGTTAATATTTAATTATCTACAATTTAAGACATATGGTATATACATGAGGGTTTTCTTATTTGGATTATTTCGCTCGATGTATTACGTTTCTTGTTGTAGATTTTTAAGTATTAATTCAATCTATTTGTATGACATGGTTACTTGGATGATTATTCTGATTGCTCGCTGCATGACCTCGTCATCACCCGATTAATTTTTGGATTCTTTGATTATTATATGCTAATAGTGGGTTTCATCTAGTTTTTAGTATTCCGGTTGCAAGTTTCTATTTATTATTACTGTTTCGCCTTGGTCGTTCGACCGTTTTCTTTTCTCCCTTGTGGGATCTTGCCGTGTGCCATGCACGCTGACGTATACTTGTTTTCTCTGGTGTACGTCATACTTAGAGGAAGAACAGGTTCAGCTGGGAGATCGCCAGGAGCCGAAGTATTCTCAGCAGGAGTGCCTTGTAGATGGAGCAGAAGAACAAGTTGAAGCTTAGTTATTCCTTTCAGTTTATTTTCGTAGCATTTCCTTTTTCGTCTGATCATTGTATTTTATATTCTTCAGTATTTCATTCAGATAGTTTATATAAGGGCATGTTGACCCGAATATTATGTCTCGGATGTTATCCTATTTCTGATATGATATTTTTATTCTGAGTTTGTCTATTATATTCTTGCTGATTGTGATCGGGGACCTGTAACTTCGCATTGTATTTATGTATTTGACGCCTAGCGTATTGGATTGAAAAGAAAAAAAAGGGGAAAAAATGATAGTGTACATTTTTTCTCAATCTAATACGTCGCGGGCTTGTTCACGTTCCGATTCCCCTGTATTTTGGGAAGCGGAACATGACATAGGTAAGTCCTCAAAGGGTACTACAGCTGTTTATTTAATACCCCCCATAATACACACGTTGGACTTATTAAGAGTAAAACTCAGCCTAACCAGCTATATCATAAGTGCATCGTCATCATAGAGAAGGGGTAGTAGCACAAGCTACATAGTGATATATGAATATATATGGGTCGATGCTCCACACGAGTGTCACTAGTCCAGCTTGTTTCTACCACATTGAACCAACATTGGGACTAAGTCTCCAAATAAGGGTTGGGTTACCACTTTTTATAATGCTATTTTTTCAAATAACATGAAAATTCAAATTAGATTTGGATACATTTATTTACTATCAATTCGATTGTCAACATGAAAATTTAAATTCGGTATAACCTATTAAAACATGCATTAAAGATAATAAATAACTACAATGCTAAAGTAGAGACATAAATGGGCAAAAACTATCAAAGTAATTAAAATTGAGGAATAAATTTTAGTAAAGAAATAAATTAAAATATTTAATCATGACATTTAACCATGTGGGTATACATGCATAAAATGTAAAATGTAGTGTGTGTATACGTGTTATAATAAATATAATGCAATTAACAATCCGTGCTTTGCATGGATATGAAATACTAGTATCTTTACCCGGCAGTGACTATAAAATGAAATTTGTATTTGATTGAGACCTACAGCTTGCAGCTGCGGGTGACTGGACTTATATGTTGCTGTTATCAATAAACTGAGTTTTTTTAATTAAAATTTATTCTTCTTCTATGGTTCATTATAGGAGTGTTTATGAAAGGCTTAAATTCCACTTAAATATCATAAAAATTCCATTATAAAACACATACATATATAAGCTGAGCTATATTTTGCAGCAGAAATATACCTTAAGTTTCTTAAATATAGTTCGTCACTATCTTCTGTTAACCTTCTGTTAACGTGACATGATAATATTTGAAAAAATATTTCCACATGATAATCACATGACATTTTCAAAGATAATTTAACTCTATTGATTGCTATTGTTACTATTGTATCTTTTCCCATTCTAGTGAAAATTATCTCGTTCGATGTGGAATCATAAATTAGAAAAATTCTCTCTTGTTTTCTCCAATCATTTGCAAGAGAGCATGAAGTCAATCTCCAGAGTTCAGAGTTTCAACTGCTTCATCAAGTTATGGCTCATTACCTCAATTATCTCTTATTCTTCTCCAAATTTTGATATAATGTCCCTTCTCAAGTTTCAATTCTGGACCCAAATTTCTAACTTCTCAAATTAGGGCATGATTAATTTTTTTCCAAACAAAAAAAAAGGGACTGGGGAGTAATTACGCTAAGTGTAATAACATCTTTCCACCATTGGCGTTATATAGTTTACAATGGTGGAGAACTTAAGGTATTTTTGTGCTGCAGGAGACAGCTGAGAATATTTGTGTGCTACATGCATAATGAAAATTTAATGGTATTTAAGTGAAATGTAGCATTGTAAAATGCAATACTTAAATAACCGGGGTGAAAGTGTAAAATAAGCTTTTAATAAGATAAAAATCGAGAAATGGGGCTGGCCATCTCAAGGCTTCCAACGCTAGTAGAATCTTCTATTCTCAGAGAAAGATCTCTCTCGAAGTTCCGTAAATTTCTCTCAGCCCCCCTCAATCTCACTTAACGTTCCTTGCTGCAGGTACTAAATCCTGTTCATCTCTCTCTCTCTCTCTCTCTCTCTGCTTTGAGTATTGAACCCTTTTATACCCCTCTCCATTTCTGTTCTCGTTTTTATTTCAAGTCTTTGGTGCGATTAATTGATTTGGGCAATCTTATAATGTCCATACTTTAAAGATAATTAATATCGGAATTGGGTCTTGTTCTTATTAATGTTGTTTCTGTTTGATCTGTATCTTGAATTTGTTTAAGTACCCATTTCAATGTATGCAAGGGTTTAATTTGTGCAATGAGCTGAAAGGCCCAGAACCTAACAAGATGAGACTTTGGGTCAAAATTAGTCTGGGCTTAGGGCAGTGCAGCTTTAGGACATTTTTTTGGGCTGCTTAGGCTTTGGGAGACGAGAGTAGAGGATTAGGCTATCTCTTGCTAGGGCTCTACATTTTTATTCATAATGGCACCATGCTAGCTTTTAGTACTCCACAAAACAAATCTTGATCGAACCTATACGTGCATAAGGGATATGATCTACTCTTGGTAAGATTTCATATGGGTTTTGATGTACTCTTTATCTTCAGGAAGTGGTCTGGCAACTTATGAAGGTTGAAGAGGATACTAGGTTAGTTGAGCCACTTGAGTGCAATTAATGAAAATAGCATTTCATTCTTCTTAACAATAAGTCTGTTAGATATCTCAGTTCAGCATACTGTCGCTCTATGTTTGCATACAACTACATTTATTTCGGTTAAGAAAATGATTTAGATGCATGGGATTCTAAATTAATGCGAGATAAAAGGTACTTCAGTTATGATTTTACAATGTCTAACGAATCTGCTGAGGGCGCAACGAGAATAAAATGAGCTCAAATTCTAAAGATTATGATTTGATTCAAGAGTGCAGTCTACATAGCTCCATATTTACTTATAGCATGGAATGAGCTAGCTCTCCAATATCTACCCATATTTCGTCAAAGTTATCCCAAAAAGGAAGAGTACCTTGCCTTTATATGAATCTGAAATGATTTGAGAAGTCAACTTTTGGTGTCTTCGATGAGCTTTAATTTATTCATGGACGAAGATCATCGAAGAAGATGTTCTCAAATCCTTAATAACATCCATCATGCCATTGCTTCAGTATCAAACATGAAAGACGAACTGCGATCCTGTGGGACATTGAATATTACCATTTACCAATGTATGTTTTTCCTTATCAACTAAAACCAGGCTGATTACGGTTCAAGCTTCTTATCTTTTCATCACAAAGATCATCAATCTCGGCTATTGGTTAGAGTTGACTTTAGACAAAATGGTGTTGGAAACTAGTCATCCGTACATAGTTGTACATAGTTATACTCTTGGTAGGTTTCAAATCAGACTGATGAAAAAATGTGATGTTAATTATGGATTTTCAGGGTTTATTGTAAGCAGTCAGCAGTGCAATATGCTGGATTTTTTTTCCTTTCTCATCCATGAGAAGGATATCAAAAGAAGTCCACCCCTTTGTGTTCATCTTGCATTTTATTGTTGAATGCAATTAGGTTTAGCTATTCTAGAATCTTTCATATTCAAGAGAATTTTGTACAGCTTCTCCTTTCTTATGTGAACATTTTAAACATTAAGAGAATTTGAGGATAGTTGGTCCATGTAAGTTGTGTGAGGAAATTTATCCCTTGTATTGGGGGAGGGGTGGAAAGGGACAGGTCTACTTTATATTTACACAAAGAAAGACAAGAAAAAAGGAAGATAAAATTTCATGATTATTGATGTAGGCTAGGATTCCTCCCTCTAGTCCTTTGAGTTTGGCAGCTATTCAGAGAGCTGGCTGTTTGACAAATGGTTACAGAATCTGGTCAATTCCATGGAACCTGTTCTTCAACTGACCCCTATCATAAAGAATCCTTGATAGTAAGGAGAAGGATGGTGATGAGTAACATTCTGAGAAAGTTGTTCTTTATATAGGAGTTATGCACCACCATTGCCATGAACGTTTTCAACCATAGTTACCATACTATTGATTGCTTTAGACCAACGCCTTTTATTTTATCTAGCTTCATATATTAAAATATTCATGAGATGGTTTATGCTTGTCTTGTTTGATTGTATACCTTTCCATTGTGTTTCGAGATTCCTACCTGTATCTGAATCTTCTTTGCTCAATATAACTTCCGAACTTCTTTATGGTGTTCACAAGGGGTCAATTTTTATGATTATTATATTGACGCAGATATCTTTGGAAGTCTATCTAATGGTGACTGTGCCATGTGGAGGTATATGCATGCCACAACTCGGAACCAGATCGAGTGTAATGCTTAGATCAGCAACTCAACAAGTGGTGGCATGTTGTTTTGCAGATAACTCAAGGGTCTCTCATTTTGGGTAAGCACTGTTTGTGCTCTTTCTTTTCACTGAAAATATTCACTTTCAGTCCTTTTTAACTGGTACATGTTATGATCTCCCAATAGTTTGTGAATTTCGGTAACCTAATTTATTAAATGCTGGTGCTGCTGCTGTATATGCTTCTTGCTTTCCCCCCTTCTTCTTCTTCTTCTTCTTCTTCCATGTTTTTTTTCCTTTTTGCATCATTCATATTACAGACTTCATATGGTTCTCATTCATATCACACAATGTATTTTATGTTAGCCACTATTTTTAATATGTTTTGACATTTCTTAGAACTTTTGTTTTTATCCTTTTGGCACAAATTAATTATCCATACCTGCCAAGAGAAGGATATTTTATGCTTTTGCTATTAGAACTGATTATGTAAACTATTAGATATGAAGGCAGAAACTTTAAAGTGTTGCTAAATAAATAATTAAACACAATGTCAAAGTATGAGTGTTTCTGTTTTTAATCTTCATGCCATGGCTTACACTTCGCTGATGTCATCTGTCAACCCTATTTTTCACTTGGTTCAGAAAGTTTCGTGATGATGATGTCTGGCTGAAACTAAATTTGTACTGATATTGATCATAGGCTCTTGAAAGCTTGTATGAGATTTTGTATTCGCTTTAAGAAGCCTACATCTTATAGAAAGTAGATGGTCTTGAATTAAAACCTTGGACCATTTAGTTGATGGTGGCATGTGAAATTAATGCAAAACTAAGATAATTATTGAATAATTAATCTTATTTTTTAATTTGGTTGTAATAATGAAGGAATGAGAAGAAATTGGAAGAACAGAAGGGTTCTAATAGGTGTAAGGACCATGTACTTTTATGTTCTATTGTAACAGCTGCAAAATGTTCAATATCAAGGGCAGATGAGGTGCTCATGCATTAGGACAAAATTTACTGTTATATGATGGATTCTTGATAGCAAGGCCTGCCTTGCGCTTTATGTTTCATCCTTCTCTTCAATGAACTTTTTGATTATACCGTGCATGTGCATCAGTATATCACCACATATTAGCTGGGTGATTGCTTAACTAAAACTATTGAAGTGAATTTAGATGATAAATGTCTGGTAACAGGAAAAATTCCACCAATAGAACAGGAATTTGAACTCCCAGAATATGAAGCATTTCTCTTGTTAATTCCCATTTTGTGTTGTATACAGCAGATAGTTGCCAGCTTTCATGGTTTTCTTCTTTCCTCCTTAGATTCATTATGCACGCAATTGGCTTCTATTTCTTTATATGATGAACTGCTTTATGTCATGCGCAAGGACTATGTTTAAATATGTATAGAGAATGGAGAGTTGCAAAACATAAATAAATAATCTCAGTGAAGCATATTTTTAATAAAAAATTGAAAACAGACCCACGAAGGTAAGTAAGTGCATTTACAAGCTGACAAGAACTAGCTGCTACTGTGACCCTTCCGGTTATTCTTTCTTAATGGCTTAAAGTTTAAACTTCAATATCGCACTGCTCCAAGATAAAGTAGATATATTTTTCCCAAGTTGACACAAAGTAACTGTTGTAATTGCATTTTGTCGCTTTCACTTATCAGATTTTTTTCAATTTTTATCTTTATTGTTAACTGGTATAGTGTTATACCTTAAACAGAGAAAAAGGTTTGACATCCTCACACGCGAGCTTCTTTGCTCCAGTCTCTCCATCTTACTTCTTTAAACATGGACGATCCCAAAACTCGTATCGACATAGGGGATCTCAGCTTATTATTAGGGCTGATGCTGTGAGTACTGCTATTATTTCTTGATTATGGTAATATGTATTAGCTTCTGTAATGGATGCAGTAACTATTATCTTTCTTTAATGAGCTAAAGATCCTTATTATTTTCTTATGAAATCTATCCTGTGGGCTTCTTTATTCAGGATTACTATTCTATCCTTGGTGTCTCAAGAAATGCGAGCAAATCTGAAATAAAAAGTGGTCAGTGCCTTCCGCTAAAACCTTTTGTCTTACTGAACTCTTTACTGTTTTTGGTTATTCTCATTTTGGTTTCCAGTTAATATATTGTTTACTTCTTGCAATTGGTTTTTGCGTATGAGATGAACTAACCCCTCTCCCTCACTAAACGGGGGGAAAATAGAGGAAGGGGGAAAGTAAGCACCAAAGCTAGGTATTATGGTCATTATCACTCCCTTATGGAACATAACTCAATGGAAGTTCCTTGAAAATTCTGACATATGTTACCTAGCTTCTTGATGTGAGCCCTTTAAATCAGTGCTAATTCCGTGGCAAGGAAATTATGAACAAGAGTAGGGCTTGTCATAATTCATAGTAAGCCAAGTGGCAACTGGAAGATCTACCTCGCTAGCTATACACTTCATAGTTTGCCATGTTATGCACAAATGAGCTCATAAAAATTTCTTTAGAGAAGACTAGTCCTAAATATGTTGGGCGTACACATCAGCAATGCCCCTGGAGCTTCAGCCGTGCCCCTGGAGCTTTTTAAGTAAGCAGGAGTCCTGATTTCTTCTTGAAATATTTTGGTTTTTCTGTAAGACATAGTTTTGATCATCCTGGCTTGTGTTCTAAAAAAACTGCTTAAGAATGTGAACATGTTTAAAGGATGCTTAATAAAGCAGCACTTGCATAGTATTGTAATGACCTTACTACATTGGGGCCATTAATTTATGTGCTGGTACTTTAGTTGTTATTGAGTATCTATCCTAACCCACTGCGAATTAATTTGCACTATATAAATTTTCTCACAGCGAGAGGTGCATGTGACAACTTCAGGACAACTCGTCTGTGCTCTGACTTTCCCTCTGAGATACTTAACAGGGGTTTGGTTGACCCTTTTAGTTTGATTATTATGAAGCTTTATGTCATAGTAAAGATGCTCAAAGGAAAACAAAATATTTAGCTTCAGATATTCAGATGGATTTTTCCTTTCAAATATCATTTTTGTTTGTGAGTATGTACATAGACCATTAGAATATCACACGTTGAATCGTCAGATCTTTGTTTTTACCTTGAGTGCTTCTAAAGTGTTTAGCACGTTGAGTAATCTTTTTTTTTCTTTTTTTTGGTACGACTTGCAAGGAACCTTGGCTCAGTACCAGCCAAATAAACCCAAGTTCTGGGGCCCTGCAGTCTAGACACAGGTGAATAGCACAATTGTTGTAGTGCCTAATAAGTAATAATTATAAATTGGGGATATGCATGCTGTAGACACGAATCAACCCTTGACCTTTTGAGCCAAGGCCCCAAGTCCCAACCACTCGGCCACTTGCGGAGGGTTTGAGTAATATTTGTGAATAATCTTGAAATAGTTTTAAAAAAATCTTTATTTATAATATTTAGCGAGGTACTGTATTGTTTTGCAAAATGATTTACTAAGAGATAGGAAGTAGTATGTAGCCCTCATCAGTTCCTTTAATAGCTTATTTTACTATTGGAGCTTTCGCCTCAAAAACATTATTCCATGTATAGATAAGTATATACATTGATATAGGTTTAGTTACTTCCTAAAAATTTTATAGCCAAATCATTCCATGACAATCACATAAATGTCCATTCAAATAAACCTGATCAGGGCTATGTGAAGTTTGTAAAAATAAAAAAATTCAAAGTCTTGCCGAACTGCCCCCCCCCCCCCCCCCCAATCCCATCAATATTGGTACCCAAAATGAGCAGACTAAATATCAAGTTGGTTACTTCAGGAGTGTAGAACTTTTGAGTCTAACAAAAGAGATTTTTTAATTATTCAGATGAAGATCAAATGTTTGAATTCATATTTTTATGCTTTGGCATGTAGATCTAAGTAAATACTATTTTCGGTCATCCATTTTGTGCTACTGAATGTATGAGCCATTTAAAATGCATTATCTTTGTTCGTAATTAACTAAATACTATAGATCGCTTTCAATGGAGGGGATCAGTATAAAATAGATGCTTCAGTATCGAATGCCAACAGGATGTGTTTAGCTTCGATGCTTTTTCAAAGGACCCAAGTCTCTGCACAAAATATGTATTATCATGTGTGCGTGCGTGCGTGTGTGATAAGCCTTTTTTTTTAAGAACAAACACAAATGTTTTTCCTGTCTTTCAAACTTCATGACTGGTCATCCATATAGACATTTCCTGATCTTGTATGTCATGCTATAAAACACAGACAAAATTTATGCTTTTTGCAAGTACTCTACATAACCCATCTACTCATTCCCTTGTTCTATATATAAACGGGCGCTCGTGTTGTAACTATTAGACAAATGAGTTAGAGATCTTCAAAACCATATGCCTATGCGTGCTTTGCAATGTGTAAACCAAGAAACAATGTAGATCATCCATTAAAGCGGCCCATACTATAGTTTCCATGCTGGAATAAAATTTAAGTTTGTTTTTGGGGAATTTTAAAGGCTTACCCATGTTTATGTATACGTTTTCCCATGTATGAAAAAATGTGCATATGTATGCATGCATGCATGTATAAACAATATATGTACGCAAACTATGTATATATTTATATATGACTGTATATGTGTCGAACATATCTTTCAGTAACAGCAGGCTTAAATTCCTGTGCTGTATTTATATACATTTGGGTATTCATATGGTGTTCCACATCTCTTTCATATAGAGAATCTGATTAGAAAGGATAAGGGAATTGTTTAAGTGAGCTCCTGAATAGGATTTGTATGTATGTGAACCATCTCTTCTATAGTAGGACTAGGTTTACATTAGTGTGCTAACTTTTTATGTTATGTTAACACAAATTTGTGTACGAGTCATCTGCTTGGATTTTAGACCATATTTTGGTGACCATAAACAACATTTAATAAAGCGTAATCTAAAGCAAGAAGATTCAAAATGTTTGAAAGTGGATATCTTATTCTTCTCATGGCAATCAATTGTTATCTTCCTGAAAATTTCGTTTGGATGATGGATGCTCTACAATTATCATGGAAGAAAGTTCAAAGTATTCATGGTATATACCTAGTAATACTAAGAAACCTTAAATTTCTGTTTCTTGAAGCAACATCAATTACAATACTTATATGTCTGGAATTTTACATGCAAATATTCTTGTCATGACACCTTAGATGCGTATTTGTTTACTAAACTAAGATTTAATGTTATGTTTTGTTGCCAGCTTATCGGAAGCTTGCCAGGAGTTATCACCCAGATGTGAACAAGTGAGTAAAAGATTTATATATTTCTTTTTGATGTATTTGTAATATCTGACATATTAAATGAAAGCTTCTTTCAAAATAAAATTCTTACCAAGGTACTATGCAGTAGTGTCTTTGCCATGATTAGCTATGTCAATTCACTATCGTGGTATTTACGAATCCGAATGCTTAATAGTATGGAGTGAGAATTTTGAAATGAAATTCTCACCGACTATCAAATAGAGCTTCCATATATCAATTAATCATTTCTTGGAATAAACCAAGGTTCTCTTATTAATTTCTCAAGAAAAAAAAGAAAGAAAAAGAAAAAAAACACTACACAGGTCTTGCATAATCCTTGGTTATGGATTGATACACACATACTCACAGTTTAATCTAAGATTTTTGGGATATCACGATCGTGCTAGTTCTCATTTCTGCGATTATTTCCTCATCTCAGAGAACCCGGAGCAGAGCAGAAGTTCAAGGATATCAGCAATGCCTACGAGGTCAGCCATAACTCTCCATCTGCTTTTATTCAAACAAAACAGTATCATTGACATTAACTCGGTTCCTCTCTGTAGGTCTTGTCAGATGATGAGAAGCGATCTCTCTATGACAAATATGGAGAGGCTGGGCTCAAGGGCTCCGGTATGGGCACGGGGGTAAGTTTCTTTGGATGAGAAAATGTTGGATACCTTGGCTTATGTGTTTTAATCAACTCTGTTAAAAAAAATCATTCTCATTCCAGGACTTCAGCAACCCGTTTGATATCTTCGAGTCGTTATTTGAAGGAATGGGTGGCATGGGCGGAATGGGTGGGATGGGTGGGATGGGTGGAGGCAGGGCTTCTCGCAATCGCCCCATGCAGGGCGAGGACGAGAGCTACAGTCTCATCCTAAATTTTAAAGATGCCGTCTTCGGTATTGAGAAAGAGATTGAGATCACCCGTCTTGAGGTCTGCAATACCTGTGACGGCTCTGGCGCCAAGCCTGGAACAAAACCTACAAAATGCAGCACCTGCGGCGGCCAAGGCCAGGTTGTCTCATCAGCGAGAACCCCGTTGGGCGTATTCCAACAGGTCATGACTTGCTCGACCTGTAACGGAACAGGAGAGAGTTTCACGGCGTGCAACACCTGTAAAGGTGACGGTCGAGTGAGGAAGACGAAGCGGATTAGCTTGAAGGTCCCAGCTGGAGTGGATTCCGGGAGCCGGCTTAGGGTTAGGTCGGAGGGGAACGCTGGGAGGAGAGGTGGCCCCCCTGGAGATTTGTATGTATTTATTGAAGTACTGTCAGATCCGGTACTGAAAAGGGACGGAACAAACGTGCTCTACACGTGTAAAGTTTCGTATATTGACGCGATACTGGGGACAGCGACAAAGGTGCCGACAGTTGATGGGATGGTGGAGCTGAAGATTCCGGCTGGAACACAGCCAGGGACGACACTGGTAATGGCGAAGAAAGGGGTGCCTTATTTGGGGAAGCCTAACATGAGAGGGGATCAGCTGGTTAGGGTTCAGGTGGAGATACCAAAGAGGTTGAGCAGTGAGGAGAGGAAGCTGATCGAAGAGCTGGCCAGTCTCAGTAAGGCAAAGACTGCAAATAGTACAAGATAGTTTTTAATGATTTTTTTGATGTACAACTACTTGGTATTCTTTACCATGTAAATGGTGTATTTTTAGTGTTAGTTGGATCAGATATAGGAATGCTATGTTTGTTGGTGAGAGAGAGGGAGAACGAGAGAGCAAGTTTTGCCTAGAATTTGAGCTTGGTGCAGATTTGTGAACTGTGTGAACTTGCATGTTGAGTATAAAAGTATAATTTTTCATTCTAGTGACTGCAACTTTGTAGTCTTGCTGCGTTAACGACCTGTTTGGTTTATGTTAAGGATCTGTTTGGTTTATGTAAGTATTAAAAGTAAGAAGTGGCTAAATATCACTTGAATACCATAAAGTTTTCATGTTCTGGCACTTAAATACCATAAGTTGTATTTTTCATCAAAAAAATTTAAATACCATAAGTTGTATTTTTCATCAAAAAAATGCGGTAAGTTGTCTGCCGTTAGAAAAGTGCTGATGGAGTTTGTTTTTGACGTGAGAACAAAAATGCCCTCCTCGTAATAATTTCCCCTGATAGTACAAGAAGCCCTAAAACTCCCAACTCTATGTTACTCTTCAAAAACTACAGGGTTGCAGTCCTTGATTTTGGATTTTGAGATCTAAAGAGGGAATTTTTAAATAGAAGATAGGTTGATAGGCTAGTAAATACAAGCAATAAATGAGTTAAGAGTAACTTAAATTTGTCATGTGAGAGTCATGTATGACTACCAAAAGGTACCAACTTGACCAACGGCGGGCGAACAAGCTATAATATTTTGTTGATACAATACAATTTATGGTTTTCAAGCGTTAGGACGTGGAAACTTCATGGTATTTAAGTGATATTTAGCTGTAATAAGTAGATCAAAATAGTGCTTTGAAGTTTGTGAAGTAGAAAAGAGCAGAAATATTTTATTTCCCCTGCAGATTTCATACGTATTTAAATAATACTTCTCTTCATTCGATTTGTTTTTTATTTGGGTTGCAAATATTTTATTTTTTATATGTTACTTCCAGTTACTATTCTTGTAGAAAAAGATGTAGTTAAAATTCAGAAATAAGCAGATAAGTATTAGAATGACCTTACGAAATTTTAGAAAAACAATCATCTATAATTTATATTTTTATTCTTGATGTGAACTTATAGCAATGCTTTTGTAATTAATCCTTACACGATCAAAAACATGGTATAGAAAGAAATCTCATACTAAGGACCCGTTTGGTTGCTGAAGAGGGCTTGAAAAAGCCTGCTAAAACTTTTGTCAGTTTTGACAGACTTTCTGTCCACGTCAACAACTTTTCAAACGTACCCTAAAGCTTTGCATAAAATTGTAATTTGGCACTTCTCAGAAACACTGACAAGTGGGCAACAACGCACTCCCGTGATCCAATCAATTTTCTCCACGTAGACAGGACTTATCCACATTCACCCGCTCACTGACCTCAACTCTATATTTCCCGCTATCCGCTTTCACAATCCTTTTATCTCCTCACGAATTTCAAAACCCTAGAAATCTCTGAAACCCTAATTTTCTCTCCAATGGCTTCTTCTTCTTCGCTTCTCTGCTGCCATTGCCGCTCCTCGTTCTCAGCTCCCAAGCCCTCTCTCTCCTCTCCGAGGAGGAATTGGGGCAGCCAGCGCCTGGGGTTTAAGTGCTCCTCGTCGAGATTTCCTCAATTGGAATCTGAGAAGGAACAGGTAATGGCTCCCTTTGTTGAGCTTGATTTTTGTTGCAAAATTTGTTTCTTTTTACTACAGGGAAAATGGTGAATTGAGCTGGTTGTAGACGAGAAGTTGTGAAAATTTTAAGTACATGCACTTGAGGAATTGAATTGTTCTAAATTTTTCTATTGGTGCATTAAATAGTTGTAGTTTAGGTTAATATGGTTAGGAGTATTGAAATGTTATGGAAAATATAATAGCCCTTCTGTTAAAGTAATATGCTCATCGTTTTTAAGTTCCAGTTCTCTTTGTCGTGGTTTTCTCAGTTTGAATCTGAGAAAGAGTAGGTGATGAGTTTTGAGTTGATTTGATTGGAAATGAGAATGGTGAGTTGACATGGGTATATGAGTGAGGATGAGACGTTGTGTAAAAGTAAATGCATTTGTGAGAATTGATTTATTGAAAAAGTTTTCTTTTTGTGCATTAAATTATTGGAGTTTAGGTGAATATGGTTACATGTATTGAAATTATCCTGATAATCTTAAACCTCTTGTGTTAAATTAAAATGCTCATCCTCTGACTTTTCATTTGGATGATCTGTCCTGAATTTATTTGTCTAAATGATTTTTCTCAACTGTTCGGGATAGAAACCTTGAACAATGTCAGGGGGAGAAGGGAGAGATGATTTTTGGATGGCTAGTAAGCAATAATTGATCCTTGTAGCAAAGATGGAAAATTCTACAAACTATTAAGATATGTTGATAATTAAAACCAGTGTTTTTAATCATGACCTACATGCTATGAAGTCGGGGCATGAATGACATACATGTAAACTACTTGAAATCCGGACATACTATAACTTGATAGACATAATTTCGAGTACTATGAATGAGAATCATTTTTTTGGAACTTTTGTCTAAACTGTTTTTAGTATATATTTTTTTATACTTACCTTAATCTTTTTATAGAGCTTCTCCAATTCAGTAATTTGATCCCTACTACCTTTTGGTGGAAAAAAAAAATGATTGGATGGTAAACCTTCATATTCTGTCCAATGAGCAAAAATGTATCCCTAGAAGTTTTACACTGAAATATGGACAAACTTCTTTTAATTTGTTTGTAAGAGACTATTGTGGTTATCCAAGAAAACAATAGTTTTAACTTCAGAACTTAAAAGGAATCACATATTAATGTTTGCAAGGTGTGAGGGCATCGTCAAAGATTTGTCCGGAATTGAAATTACAGATACAATTCTCATTTTCTGACTTTTTGCTTGACAAGGATATGGGTGTGATAGTAGTTGCATATGTCCTCCATCTTGTTATGGTCTTCATATTTGATTGGAATAGCGCCTTAATACTTGAATTGTAAAATTCTTGAACTTTTTTAAGTTTTGTAAGATAAGAGAACCCAATTTTGGTCCTCATAAGTAAAATACAATATCACTGGTCTTTGTTTTAGCCATTCCTTTAATGGGTTCCAATAAAGTCTGCCTGAGCAGTAAGTACAACCAATCCATCGTACCACCAATCCGTCTTCGCAAAGCTAAACTTATAGCTTTTGGCAGAGACCACAGGGTTATCTAAGATCAACCTTCATCTAATAAGAAAGTTGAATCACATTATGGTTGACATGTTCAGTCGGCTTATGAGCCTTGCCTTTAGTTTGAGTTTTTTTATGAAATAAAAGGGAATAATGTATGTTTATGTCAGGGGGCAATATGTGATTATGTTTATGTCAGGGGGCAATATGTGATTTTCCCTTTGACACTGATCTGGCATGAAAAACAGCTGTCCCTTTGAATGATATTTTAATAACACCAGTTGTATTCATTTAAGTGCATAGAGGTTGCCATTACTTATGATATGGACATCTAAGGGTTTGCAGCTGATGTCCAATGTAAGAACTAAGATGTCTTACATAAATGCAGTTAATTATTTTTGTTAATTCTGACACTTATAGGATATTGTGTGCTCTTTTCGTTTCTCTTGTTGTTTTTGTTGTAAGTACTCAATTTCAAGTTTCTCTGCTGATGCATTTTTTTTATTGACAGGAGAAGAGCTCATTTGGTCTCAAAGAGTGTGCATTTTCCCTAGCCCTAGCAATTGGATTGGTTACGGGTATTCCTCATTTGGATTGGGATGCACATGCATCGCCAGGACCTGTACTGCCTGATCTTGCAGTACTGATATCTGGGCCACCTATTAAAGATCCAGGTGCATTGTTAAGATATGCATTGCCTATTGATAATAAGGCCATCAGGGAAGTCCAAAAGCCGCTTGAGGATATCACTGATAGTCTGAAAATTTCTGGAGTCAAGGCTTTAGATTTAGTTGAGCGAGTAAGTAAATTCTTGCTGCATCTGATGAATTTTAGGCGCCTTTGGTGGTCTTTAGAGCTTGTATGTATAAATCACTGATATTTAGATTTTATGATTATGAAATATGATATTGAATTGATCCCTGTGAAAAGCTACATTCTGAATTTTTTTTCATCTTAAACATACGCACCATAAGAATTTTGATAAAATGTGTTAATTTATGGTTCCATTATTCTGTAAGTCAATTAACAATATCAATCATTTTACAAAGGAAAATCATTTGCATGAGTTCTCATTATGGATAGTTTAATTTCACACTTCAAAAATTTTTTATTTGTGTAGTGGTTGACTTCATCTGACACATTGCCATGTTTTTGAATAGTAGAATCTGAGGCAGTCTTCTCGTGCACTCAGCCAGGGGAGAACTATGATTCTGTCAGGTGTTGCTGAATCAAAAAGAGCAAATGGACAGGAACTGCTGGACAAGTTGGAAGTTGGAATGGAGGAGCTTCAGCGTATTGTTGAGGATAGAAATAGGGATGCAGTAGCCCCTAAGCAAAAGGAGCTTCTTCAATATGTTGGAGCGTAAGTACTAGCTATTAATCATTATTCCGTAGACTCATTAGTTATTCCAATAATTATAATGATTCTTATTCCAATACACAAGAATGATCCTTGATTCCAATTGGAGGCAACCAAGTGCCGGATTTGAAATTTGCTTGCTTCTTGCATTTTACTGGTTTGCATGACAACTTTGGATATTTAGTTATCAGGTCTTACTGTTTATCTGCATTACATCATCCATCTTGCCAGTTTCCAGGCTGTTTTTTGTAGAGTGAAAATGTGCATTTGTTCTATCCTCTTTAACGAGTAATTATGATTTTGTTATAAACCTTGTTCAATAGACTATGCTATTAAGATAGAGCTGGGTATGTGCGGTGCACATATTAGTAACTATCCATTTTGGTAAGAAAGCAAGAAACTATTCATAGATTGGTAGTTATAAATTGTAATCTATTTTTTTTTTATTGGCAAAGGACATATTTCCACTTCTTTGCCATGAGTGCCATGAGACATTCTAAAGACCAGCATGCTTGAAACCCTCTGTTCAAAATGTCTTGCTCTGTGTATTCCAAAGAAAAAAGCATACTCCTGGCTTAATTATTTAGAGGGATTTTAATAGGTCTTCAGTATAAAATGATGTGGAACTAACAACTTTGGACTGGATTTGAAGAGTTGGGTCTAAGAGAGGTTTATGTCAAAACTTGCATTCTCATTATTCATAGTAATGTACATAACATCAGCCTGAACAGTTAACCTTATTGATTGGGTATGCAAGTCTAAACAACTTGTATCATTCAACTCACTTCCTAGAGGAGTTTTTTTTTCTTTCAATCGTGGCAAGTCCACTAGAAGCGAATAATTCTTATTGGAGCAGGATTTTGTTCGTCTCTCCTCATGTGATCACTGTGACATGTTCTCCAGCAATTAGAACAAGTAATTCTTATATAATTTGGGATTCAGTTAGTCTCCCATTGTGATAGTCATGCCATTTTCTCTTGCTTTTTAGTGGGCCATAGCTCTTTGGCCTGTTGGATTGAATTCGACAAGAGCTTTCGTTATGTCATCAACAGGGTTTTTAGGGTATATTTCCCTGAATTAATGCTCTTGGTCATGAATTTTTTCTTTTTCTTTACTTCATATTTTGTGCTGAAAAGATCCTCTACATCTCCCTTCCTCCAGAATTATTTATGCAATGAAGTGTTTGCAGAATGTCAGTGCATGACCGTGAAAAACATTATCTTCTAATTTGAGACAGAGTACGAAAAGCATTTAGAGCCTTCTCAAAAGGCACAGTTCTCATATATACCCTTGTCATTGACTGCAGCTGAGATTCTCGTGGGACATTGCATTTCTGCAGTGTTGAAGAGGACATGGTGGATGGTTTCCCCTACGAAGTGCCTGAAGAGTACAAAGACATGCCACTTTTGAAAGGGAGGGCAACTGTAGATATGAAGGTTAAAATTAAGGACAATCCTAACATACAAGACTGTGTTTTCCGGATTGTTCTGGATGGGTACAACGCCCCGGTGACAGCAGGGAACTTTGTCGATTTAGTGGAGAGGCATTTCTATGATGGCATGGAAATTCAAAGAGGTAGAGCTGAACCTATGTTTTAAATCTTGTTATATTTCCAGTCAGATTTTAATCATGCAATATTTTAGTATGTGCACATGAAAGCCTCAAATATTCGCATGTTTGACTATTTCAAGGTGTCTAATTTAAGACTAAATTTAGATTTTGTGACTCTTTTGTTTTAATATTGTTATAGGCCCTGGATGGCAACTTTTATCTGGGTTCTTTGATACTTAAAGTTGGCATTTTTTCTTTCTGCAGCTGATGGCTTTGTTGTTCAAACTGGAGATCCTGAGGGCCCTGCAGAGGGTTTCATTGATCCAAGTACAGAAAAAATACGGACAATACCTTTAGAGATCATGGTCACTGGTGATAAAGCTCCTGTCTATGGTGAAACACTGGAAGTAAGTTGCACACACTGTTATACGTAGCCCTTTAATTTATTGCTTTAGGCATGCCTTACTTGTGTGCATTACAGTCGAGAACATTTTATCACCAATAGCCTCTAAATTTATTTCATCTTTGTTTTGTCAGGAGCTTGGACGATACAAAGCACAAACACGGCTTCCTTTCAATGCATTTGGGACTATGGCGATGGCTAGAGATGTAAGTATTTGGATCTGCCATCTGTTTAATAAAATAGCCAGGACCAAGCCAGTCTTCAAATTCCCAGTACTCAGATAATAATTGTTCATCCTTTAACTGATATACCTACAATAAGTCAAAGGACTGAATCACTTGTACATTACCTAACTGCAATTCATTCACTCTAAATTATTTACATATGCATAAATGTTTTATATTAAGTGCCTTGATATGAGTTATTCATCCTTACTTTCATTAACTATTAATAATACAAGCTAATAATAGTTTATTTGTTAATTTTCATTAACTTATTGCCGTGCATACTGTGTGAACATTATTTAATTGTATGCTCTGTTCTTTTTGGACACAAAATTTACCTGTTCTTTTTTGACACAAAATTTACCTGCGACTGAATTTTTTTATCTTAACAAGCAGTAGAATATATAACTAAGGCAGTTAATAATCAACATTCAACAACATACGGTGTGCACTTACATCAGAGCTACAGTCACATTGTCACTCGTTCTATTAGGATGCGTATCATCTCAGTTAATTTACTCACTTTATCTTGAGTATATCAAATTTGCAATAAATGATCCTTGATCAGTAAAAGTGACACATAAACCCGTATTTTGAAAGAATAAGATAAAAATTCCATTTTGAAATCTTTTTCTGGATTTAACCATGTTTATGAACAATGCTTTGACAGGAGTTTGAAGATAATTCAGCTTCCAGCCAAGTGTTCTGGCTTCTCAAAGAAAGTGAACTGACCCCAAGCAATGCAAATATCCTTGATGGGCGATATGCAGTGTTTGGATATGTCACAGAGAATGAGGATTACTTAGCAGATCTCAAGGTGGGGGACGTTATTGAATCGATTCAGGTTGTCTCTGGCCTTGAAAACCTTGCCAATCCAAGCTACAAAATTGCAGGCTAAGTTAAGCTGTATATTAGCTATTGTTCATGTCTTTTAGAGCGTCCATTTTTTGTCATCAGTTTGAAAATGTCTGTTAGGTCTGCTGTTTATTAGTTGTTATTTTGCACTTGAGGAATAAAATAATGTTACTCGTGGGAGTTCCAGTTGGAAATCTTCATTTATTGAACTTCTGGATGTTAATTATGTAGATTTTATTCAAGAGCAGTCAATTGGTTATGTAAATTTTATACTCCTTCGGCACTATTAGGCTTAAATCCCTTTTCAGGAAATAGAAAAATATGGGTCTTTGTAGCAATTTACAGCATAGGACTTATGCGTTTGTGGTACTGATGTAGTAGAAAATGATCTTGTAAATTTCAGTGTAGCAGAAAATTATCTTGCAGGTTAACTTATATTTCATTCATTTTGTTTACAGTGTCCATTTTTTGTCATCAGTTTGAAGATGTCAGTTGAATTTGTGCTTATGAGTTGTTAGTGTTTTGCACTTAATATAAATGATGATAATCTTATTTACTGACTTTCCTTTGAGGGAAATCTTCCTTGTATTGAAATTTTGTGTACTGTTTCTCTCTTCTTTTTTCCTCTCTCGCTTTTTCCCCCATCCCTGTGTTAAGCTTCTTATCTTATGTCTGTTGGCTTCGTTTCTTCCCCGTTGTTGTTTTCTTTTAGCGGCTGCAGCAAACACAGAGAACAAATAAAGGAGCAGTGCTTTTTGGTGGCTATTCAAAGAAGAAAAGCAAGTCTTTTGTAGATGTTCTTTGTTTTTAGCACTCCCTTTGAGAGAGTATTTGTGTGAGGGATCTGAGAGTTTGTGAGAGGGTTTTATTTGTGAGATTGTAAACCCCAATTGTATCTCTCCCTCTAATAGTAGATCTCCCTCTCCTTGCCCCGTGGACGTAGGCAATTTGCCGAACCACGTAAAATTTGTGTTCTTGCCGTGATTTGTAATAGCTTGTAGGTTCCCTCGACGCGCAGTCCTAGAGCTGACGAGAGGAAGAGCTGAAATCTCACTTTGATGAGATATCTGGCTTTTGGTTCTTGTTTCCTTTGAGAAACGAGAATTTCTTATCGATCTAATATCTTGTTGTGCACCTTGCGCACCGGAGGTGCTGCCGAAATTTCCGCTACGCACAACAAGTGGTATCAGAGCTCCGGGTTGGATTTAGGAGCCTGTTCAAAGGATTCGCTGAAGGATTCATATTTGAAGAATTAGATCGACAACATGGGAGAAACAAGCACATCGGGATCGTCTCTTTCAAAGGCGATACAGAGTTTGAGCATCAATAATACAAAAATTGATGTTCCGAAGTTCGACGGCAAGATCAATTTCGGTTTGTGGAGGTGTCAGGTGATGGACGCTTTGGATGCACAAAATTTGGAGGAGACTCTTGAGTTACAAGAGAAACCCGCTGATATGGATGGAAGAAAATGAATAGTAGGGCTTGTGGAGTTATTCGGTCATGCTTGACGCCGGATCTTATTTATGACGTAATGAACGAGACGTCGGCGAAGAGAATGTGGGAAACACTCAATGAGAAGTATCTGACGAAGAGCATTGAGAATCGGCTTCACTTGAAGAAGAGGTTTTACCAATTCAAGATGAAGAGGGGAGTTTCCATTCGGGAGCATGTTAACAACTTCACGAAGCTAATTTCGGATATGGCCAATGTAGATATCATGGTTGAGGATGAAGACAAGGCGATGCTACTATTGTGTTCGTTGCCGGAGGATGATTTTGGAACGTTTGTTCTCACTATGATAAATGGAAGAACTACGGTTAGCTACAAGGAGGTGACCCCAACTTTGATGAATTATGAGTTGAGGAAGAGTGATGGCGAACCCTCCGAGAAGGCATCGGGAGATGCATTAGCAGTTCGAGACCGTGGTCCAAACCGTCGTCCAGGTGATCGCTCAAGATCGAAGTCAAGAGGTGGCCATAGAAATATTGGTAGGAATCAATGTCGCTTTTACAAAGAAGAAGGACATTGGAAGAACGACTGCCCAAAGTTGAAAGATAAAACCGGGAAGAATAAAGGGAAAGCTATACAAGCTTCGGAAGTGAATGTTGTCAAGGCTAGTGACGACAATTCAGATACAGATTCTTCAGGCTATTCCTGCTCTGCACTACCGTCAGTTTGTTATGCTGACTCTACGGAGTGGATGCTGGATTCTGGTGCTACATACCATATTTGCCCTAGGAGGGATTGGTTCTCTAGCTTTGAGGAGTTAGAAAGAGGGGATGTCGTGCTCATGGGTAATGATCACGTATGCCCTATTGGTGGTATTGGTACAGTTCGGATCCGGATGTGTGACAGGGTGACTCGAGAGCTGAAGGAAGTGAGATTCGTTCCTCAATTGACGAAGAATATCATTTCGTTTGGAACTTTGGAGGCAGCTGGTTATCAGGTGATCTTAGAGAATGCGACTCTGAAGGTTAAAAATGGGTCCATGGTGGTGATGCGAGGTGTCAGGGAAAACAACCTATACTACTTGAAGGGCAAGACAGTAACAGGGGGTCTGGCAGCTTCGATTACCACAGAGGAGGATACTACCAACTTATGGCACATGAGATTGGGACACACTGATGATAAGTCCCTGCAGGTATTGGCGAAGTAGGGGCTATTGAAAGGTGCGAAGACCTGCAAGATGGAGCTGTGTGAACATTGCATACATGGAAAGAAGACAAGAGTGAAATTCGGCACCGCTATTCACAATACCCAAGGTATAGTGGACTACATTCACACAGATGTTTGGGGCCCTTCCAAGCACACATCACTTGGTGGGGCCAACTATTTTGTCACTTTCATTGATGACTATTCCAGGAGAAATTGGGTATACCCGATGAAGCATAAACATCAGGTCCTGGATATTTTTATAGAGTGGAAGAAGAAAGTGGAGCTGCAGACAGATAGAAAGGTAAAAACTCTACGTTCTGATAACGGTGGAGAGTATAAGAGTGATCCGTTTATGTAGTTTTGCCGGGATCACGGCATTAGGTGACACTTCACAGTACGTGAGACACCGGAACAGAACGGGGTGGCTGAGAGATTGAACCGTACATTGCTGGAGAAAGTGCGGTGTATGATGACGCAGAGTGGATTGTCAAGATCCTTTTGGGCCGAAGCGTTGGTTTATACGAGCCATCTCGTGAATAGGTTGCCGTGCACTGCGATACAGGGGAAGACTCCGTTGGAGCGTTGGTCTGGTTCGGTAGCTAGTGACTATGAGTCGTTTCGGATATTTGGGTGTCCAGCTTATTACCATGTCAGTGATGGTAAATTGAATCCGAGAGCGAGGAAAGCAGTCTTTGTGGGATTTAGAGATGGAGTTAAAGGCTTCAAGTTATGGGATCCACAGGACAAGAAGATAGTTATTAGCAATAATGTCACATTTGACGAGGCGTACATGATGAAGTCTCAAGTTCCTCAGCAGGTGGAGGAAGACCAGACAGGAGAGATATCGCAGAAGGTGGAGGATGATGTGACTCCACCCACTCCAGAGAGCATTGTATCCATCGAGGCTCCTACAGAGGTGACACTGGAAGGAGATGAGATGACAGCCGGGCATTTAGAGGATACAGTGGATGTTGGGACTCAGGAACAGGGTCATGTTCAGGAGTCCATTGTAGCTAATAGACCAAGAAGAAACATTCGTCGGCCAGCTAGATATAACGATGTCATGGTTGCATATGCTTTATCAGCAGAAGTCGTTGATGATTTGGTTCCTTTTACATTCAAGGAAGCAGAGTCAAGCTCTGATTCGATTAGGTGGAGGGAAGCCATGGAGGAGGAGATGCAGTCTCTTCATAAGAACGACACTTGGGAACTTGCAAAGCTACCGAAGGATAAGAAGGATATTGGATGCAAGTGGGTGTATGCAAAGAAAGAGGGATCTTCTATTGGGGAGATTAGATTCAAAGCCAGATTGGTTGCCAAGGGATATGCACAGCTAGAGGGCGTTGATTACAACTAGGTATTTTTACCTGTTGTGAAGCATTCGTCGATTCGTATTTTATTGTCATTGGTGGCACAGCTGGATTTGGATTTGGTCCAGATGGATGTGAAAACAGCCTTTCTATATGGAGATTTAGAAGAGGAGATCTACATGACACAACCTATGGGGTTCAAAGCTGCAGGAAAGGAAGGATTGGTATGCAAGCTGAAGAAGTCTCTTTACGGATTGAAGTAATCGCCGCGACAATGGTACAAGAGATTCGACGGTTTTATGATTGGCCGAGGGTACACGAGGAGCCCATATGACCCATGTGTTTACATGCACAAGCTACAGAATGGTGAGTATATCTATTTGCTATTATATGTTGACGATATGCTCATAGCTTCTAGGAATACTTTAGCTATTAGAAAGTTGAAAAATGAGCTGTCATCCGAATTTGAGATGAAGGATCTTGGAGAAGCAAAGAAGATATTGGGTATGGAGATCGAGAGAGACAGGGTAAAGGGGAGGTTGAAATTGACACAGAGGAGTTACTTGCAGAAGATGCTGAAGAAATTCAGTTATGACGGCAATGCCAAGGCGGTGAGTACTCCATTAGCTCCCCACTTTAAGCTATCAGCTAAGATGTCACCTGTTTCAGTTGAGGATCGGGAATACATGTCCAAAGTTCCATATGCCAATGCTGTGGGTAGCTTGATGTATGCGATGGTGTGTACAAGGCCAGATTTATCACAGGCCGTGAGTATGGTATCCAGATACATGCACGACCCCGGGAAGGGTCATTGGGAGGCAGTGAAGTGGATTCTACGGTATATCAAGTGTACCGTGGATGTTGGTTTGGTATTTCAGAAGAATGAGAAGAACGGACAGGATTGTATTGGTTACGTGGATTCTGATTATGCGGGAGATCTGGACAAGCGCCGGTCTACTAGCGGATATGTGTTTACACTAGCAAGAGCATCGGTGTGTTGGAGATGCACACTTCAGTCTACAGTGGCTCTCTCCACTACGGAGGCAGAGGGCGTGCAAAAGCGGGGTGCAGTGTTTTCTTTTGGCGGCTGCAGCAAACACAGAGAACAAATAAAGGAGCAGTGCTTTTTGGTGGCTATTCAAAGAAGAAAAGCAAGTCTTTTGTAGATGTTCTTTGTTTTTAGCACCCCCTTTGAGAGAGTATTTGTGTGAGGGATCTGAGAGTTTGTGAGAGTATTTTATTTGTGAGATTGTAAACCCCAA